CCCTTTCAGCTTTACTAATATGCAATTGACTAATAGCCCTGGGTAGGTTGAAGGTATCCAATATGATGACATGATGTAGTACCCTACTGCTGTGATGAATAGGGGTCATCTCGGCTACATGCAAGAGTCCCACAGAAGGACCTGCAAACTCAAAACCGAGTGAAAGAAACCAAACCAAAAAGAGCACATGGCCTGAGTCCATCTATCTTCCTTTACTTTTAAAAAATATGTATGTATTTATTTGGTTGTGCTGGGTCTTAGTTGCAGCATGTGGGATCAACATCTCTGACCAGGGGTCAAACCCAGGACCCGTGCATTGGGAGCTTAGAATCTTAATCACTGGGCTACCAGGGGAGAGCTGAGTCCATTTATGTAGTAGAGGATGTGAGACAAGATCATTGTATGCCTCTGGGGACAGGTCTTCTGCTTGTGAATCACAGGTCAGTGTTTTCAGGGTTTAACCTTTAATATTTAATATTTAATTTAATATTTAATATTTACATTTTAACCTTTAGTATTTCAGGTTAAAATATTCATATTTAATGCAAAGAGTCAGACATGACTGCATGACTGAACTGAACTGAACTGAATATATGCACAAAGTACCCAATCTCAACCATGGTTATACACCTGAGATTTAATTTCATAAACTTGAGGATGTATATGAACAAGAACAGATGCTACTATTTAAGAGATAGAGGTCATGAGGCTGGGAAACCAGCGGAGAGATGGTGGTAGTGGCTCACTCACCTTGCAGAGAGGATATTCATATCATAACGGTAGGGCTTCCCTGGTGGTTCGGTAGTAAAGAATTCCCTTGCCAATGCAGGAGATGTGAGTTCAATCCCTGGTCCAGGGAGATTCCACGTGCCATGGAACAACTAAACCCATGTACCAAAACTACTGAGCCTGTGCTCTAGAGCCCAGGAGCCACAACTTCCAAAGCCCATGGGCCCTACAGCCGGTGCTCCACCAACAAGAGAAGCCACCCCAATGGGTAGCTTGCCCACTACAACTAGAGAGCAGTTCTCACTCATCACAACTAGCGAAAGTCTGGGCAGCAACCTTGAGATGAGTACAATGCAACTGTAAAGTACGCCGGAGAGATGAGAGGGTGAGGAGAAAGCAGCAGGGATGGACCTGAGTTGCATTCTCATGAGTTGGGAATTCCCTGGCGGTCCATTGGTTACGACTCTGTGCTTTCACTGTCGAAGTCCTGGGTTTGAGCCCTGGTTGGGGAACTAGGGCCCCACAAGTCTGCAGCCAAAAAAAAAAAAAAAAAAAAAACCTCACATGAATCATAACAGCCTGACAACTGGGATCTTCTAAATTCTATACAATGTGATCAATGTGATATTGGACATAAAAATTCTCAAGGCTTAAATCTCTGTCCTAATATTATCTTAAAGGAAATCAAACCTGAATATTCATTGGAAAGACTGATGCTGAAGCTCCAGTATTTTGGCCACCTGATGGGAAGAGTGCACTCAATAGAAAAGACCCCGATGCTGGGAAAGATTGAGGACACGAGGAGAAGGGGGTGACAGAGGAGGAGATGGTTGGATGGTATCACAGACTCAGTGGACATGAGTTTGAGCAAGCTCAGGGAGATGGTGATGGACAGGGAAGCCTGGTGTGCTGCAGTCCATGGGGTCTCAAAGAGTCGGACACTACTTAGCAACAATATTATTTTAAACTCTTTGCATGGGTTCTCCTATTACATTCTAGTTGTTTTGAAAAGTTATCATCCTTAAGGATTCCCTTGATGGTCCTGTGATTAAGACTCTTCACTTCCAATGCAGGAGGTGTGGATTTGATCCCTGATCCGGGGACTAAGACCCCACATGCTGTGCGGCATGGCCTAATCCTTTAACCATGTGAAATTTATTTCAGTATAAGGTGTCTCCAAATTCCCACTGTTGTTAAAAGTCGGCAGTGTTCTTTGCTTCTAAATCCCTGATGCCTGGTTTAGTGTCTGGCACAGAGAGCTCCCTTTGGCACCGTTAAATGGATGAACTCTAGACTCTACTTCCTAAACTTGGCCACATGTTTTATTCTGTAGCACCACCACATTGTTGAAACATTGAAACCTTGCCACTATTGGAGCAGAAAAACATTTCCTCTCTCCTCTTAGGTTCTATGACCGATCCTTGCCAAAAAAAAAAAAAATAAATGGATGAACTCTAGACTCTACTTCCTAAACTTGGCCACATGTTTTATTCTGTAGCACCACCACATTGTTGAAACATTTATACCTTGCCACTATTGGAGCAGAAAAACATTTCCTCTCTCCTCTTAGGTTCTATGACCGATACGTGCCAAAAAAAAAAAAAAAGACAGATTAACAGGAGAAAAGAATTCTGTATGGAAGCTAATAGAAGGTATAACTTGTTAAAATGATTAAAATTACGGGCTTATATATCCAGCTTGGGCTTCTCAGATGGCTCAGTGGTAAAGAATTCACTTGCTGATGCAAGAGACACTGGTTTGATCCCTGCGTTGGGAAAATCCTCTGGAGAGGGAAAGGCAACCCACTCCAGTATTCTTGCCTGGAGAATTCCATGGACATAGGAGCCTGGTGGGCTACAGCCCATGGGTTGCAAAGAGATGGATACAGACACAACTGAGTGACTAGACAACAAACAACATCCAACTCAGTAGGGGAGTAGTGGGTGGGGGTAGGGAGAAAAGGTTTCTATGGGAAGAACAAATGAGTTTCTTTCTTTTTTTTTTTTCAATGAGTTCCTTTAGGAAAAACAAATAGGTTGAGAGAACAAACATGAGGTGAGATACTTTGTGATAATGCTATCTCTGCAGGTATAAGTGGACTTTCCAGCTTCTTCAGGTTGGAAAACTCCAAGAGAGCATAGTTATGGTCATAGTTTAACTTACCATCAACCTCTTGGGAGCAGCCGCTCCCCAAAGAGGCAGTTTCTGGCAGCTGTACTTAACCAGAATTTTCTGCTTGGAGTCAAAAAGAGAGGCTCAGAGAAGGCTTCTTTCTACGTCCCTTGCATCTCAAGTGTCTTCCCCTAAAATAATTGTCTCAACCAGCTCTGGGTCTTCCCGTGAGTCCCCACACAACCAACTAAAACTCTGCACAACAGCTTAAGCAATTTCATTCCATCTTGTGTAGCTGACTTTTCCAAAGCTAAGGTGAGCATCAACATTATAATGTAAGTGTGCGTGCTCAGTCGCTCAGTTGTGTCCCACTCTTTGTGACCCCATGGATGGTAGCCCACCAGGCTGCTCTGTCCATGGAATTCCCCAGGCAAGAATACTGAAGTGAGTTGCCATTTCCTTCTCCAGGGGATCTTCCCCATCCAGGGTTTGAACTTGTATCTCCTGCATTGGCAGGAGGATTCTTTACCACCCAGCCACCTGGGAAGCCCTGTAAGACTCAACTCTGGCATTTAAATCCCACTTCAGTGGCTTATGTCCAGTGATTTTCATGTGTGTCCAAATCTTCTCAGCCCTTCACCAGTGACCCCACCTCACTTGCTCTTGGGTTTTTGCTCCTTCTGTTAAGTGTAGAGCTCCTGACCCCTTACACCCTGTTCCCCTAACTTGCCTCTGTGCTCAGCCCTCCCAGCAAACAGAGCTCCTTGAAGAAGAGAAGCAAGTCACATCCCCTTTATCCTCTTCCAATCCTTTGTGCAAGTCTGGACGAAGGCGCAATGCTTGTTCCATCCTTGTGTTGTCTGAATTCACAGCAGAGATATTAAGCTCCCTTTCTCCTGGCTGGGGTCTAGTTGGGCTTTGGGGTCCCCATACTGGAGTGTCTCAAGTGATGTGCAGACTGTGGGGAGTCAAGTAGTGCAAGAAGATAGGGACGGTGTGAGCAGGGTCTTCAAGTTTTATAGCCCCTAATTCTCGGGGTCCTTGATGAACAAGTGAATGCAAGTGTCCGTAGAAATAATCAATAAACAATCTCTGATAGGAATAGGAAAGGGTTTTATTTGAGTTAAACTGAGGGTTGTAGTCTGGCAGGCACCTTCTCAGAGAGAAGGTATTTGGTGTCAGGAATCATTTAATAGTAAGATTCCCGTGTGCTGTTTCCTCTCTCTCTTGAGCCCTCAGTTCGGTATCAGTCCCTGTCAGGGGCGAGAGGAGCAGGCAAGCCTCTGCCAGGATGGAGATCAAAGAGATGGGATGCTTGCATAGGATTCCCTTCATTAGCTTTTCCAAACGGTGAAAAGTAACTATTTACGACCCTCTTTTCATATGGATCGCCTCTTGGTCTTATGGCCTCTATTGCTCCTTGCTTCCTTGGTAACCTTGTAGTCTGGCCTCTTGATTTTTATCTAAAGAAGCTACTGGTATATATACTCTTACAGAATTCAATAAAGCACCTTTGCTCCATCAGAGCTTGAGTCCCCATGTCTTTCTTTCTTTCTCTCTCTCTCTATTTCTTGCTGATTCCCTGCAACGTGAAAGCCGGCTGCATAACCCAGGGAATATTAGCCTCTTTCCTTCTTTCACTCATCGTCGACTCCGGAGCACCAGGTTCCGGTCCAATAAAGGACCAACAAGCGGCGCCAAGAACACGACCTGGTACACCTGGCAGTTTCGGACGGAGTGACCCCAGAGGGTCTATTGAGGCTGGTAAGTACTAAGACCTGGGTCAATCCTACTTTACTTTATCACTTATTTAAAGTTCAGGGATTTTCAGTTTCACACCAGCGAATAGAGGCTTGCCTTCAGACAGTGGTTGAATGTAACCCTTGGTTCACTGATGAAGGTAGTTTTAATTTAGAAATTTGGCATCAGGTCAAAGAGAATGTTGAACGAGTCGTCAGACAGGGAAAAATATTCCAATAGATTTCTGGCCCCTATGGGCTCTCACTGAAGCTGTGATTCTGCCATTTCAAGGTAATTCTAGTCCTCCTGATATTCGGCAACAGACAGAACACTTACTACATGAATATGAATTAGACGATAAAGACTTACAAAAGGCCCAATTAGAACAACATAAGATATTTCAGAATTTTCCTACTAACCTTGCCTCGGTTGCTCCAAGCGCTCCTCCCCTGCCGGAGGGCACATATCCCAAAGTCTCTCCCTTGATAGAACCTAATGATTCTGGCAACGACTCCCCTAAGCCCATACTGTAATTAAAAAAAAGAAAGAAAGAAAGAAAGAAAGAAAAAAAGCTAAAAGACAACTAAAAAAAATTACTTGTTTATGAAAATGCAAATCAGGAATGTCAAAAGGCTGTAGCCCCAATTCATGAGACAGGGACTATTTTTTGATTATTTGAAGGCCTGTCACCATATAAGATCAGAAACTCAAAAATTGCAAATGCTAGCTGAGATTATTGCTGCTTGCTTTAAAAAAGGGAAATGAAGGATGCTTTACATGTGGAGATAAAAACCATTTATTTAAAAAGGGACTGCCCTAAGAAAGTTAATAAAAACCTCCAAAAATCTGCCCTCTCTGCCGTAGAGAAATGCTTTGGGCCAAAGATTGTAAATCTAAATTTGATTTTTTTTCTTCTCTATATAAATTTAAAAGGAGGTTTCTCTTATTTTTTTTTTTTTGAGTTTTAAAATGAATTTATTAAGGAATGGTCCTAGGAAGGCAACAATGTTTGATTTGTCATTAAAAAAAAAAAGTTCTGTTTTTTCATGCTGTATACTAAAGAGGGTACAGAGTTATGAGCTTCTTTCTATTGGAATTCTCTGATAGTATAGCACCGAGTAGTCATTTCCGCAATGCTAGAATAAATTAAAAAAAAAAAAGTCTCTTCTATGCTTCTCTTCAAAAATCGATGAACGGTAACAGGATGGCATTAAAAAAGCCACTTCTTTTTTCTACTCATTCTGTAGTACTGGAGCCAGTATTTTTACCATCACAGGCTACAATTTTCACTTTATCCACTTTAATAAGTTCTGTCACCTCTCTGAATTCAACATCATTCAATACAAAAGTCCACACGTTATCGCAGAATCTTTATGTATTTAGAAAGCCCCTGAAGTTGACTGGGTTCCTGACCCTCTGTGCCAATGCTGCATTTATAGCCTTATCAAACTGAAGTAGAACTTGAAGGGCAAGTTGGAAGGGTAATCTGTTGAGACTGTATAAGCTCATCGAGGCTCTCCTGAAGACTGTTTCCCAATGTGGTATTTCTATACAACTGATATGCCATGGCTTAGGAGGGAGAAATTCTTTTTTTAATTCAGGCTTGCATTGATGTCCTGGGGAATAGGCGCTTCCCGCCTCGGAGCGGACAGACGTGGCACAGCCGGCAGTTCAGTCAAAGGTACCTACTTCCCCGACCACCTCTCCCGCCGCAGCCGAGATCGCAGAGGTGGGCCCGGAGGTTTCTCTTAAAATACTATGTTGCCATAATGACACCTGGCTTCACTTGAAGTTAACTATTCTAAAACCCTAAGTTAACCAGTGCATTTTTCTTATGGAAATGTTTGTCTTAAGCTATGTTAATTTAACTATGTATTTACCCTAGGTTCTTTCTTCAAGTTGGTTCTGCCTAAGACTCAGAACCCACTAGACAAACCAGTATAGTTTACTCATGCAAAATTTCTCAAGCTATGTTAATGAAACTGTATTTGCTTGGAAACCTGCCTTTCTTCAAGATTCATGTCAATCATTTTGTAGCCTGAGACAACTCACCTGGTGCGAAGGTTATCTCAAAATGCATGTTGTGGGTGAGGGACCTGGTGCTAATCTCTTCAGTTTTGAGACATTTCTTTTCTCTAATTAGCAGACTGCTAGTAGTTATATGACACCTGGCTAAAGACTAGCAGAGGGGCACTCTTTCTGCCCGCTTCTGATGCCTGTGTCAGAAGCTTTCTCTATCTCCTTTATACTTTAATAAAACTTTATTACAAATAAATCTAAATTTGAGAACACATTACAAACTTCTACCGATTTCCAATTAGCTTTTCTAAAATATTCTGGAGAAATTTCATTTCATTATCCTTCTGGTAAGCTGTGGAATTTCTTCAAAAACACTGAATTTATTATTTCTCATATTTCTTTTATATAGATGGGGCTAAAAACGCCAAGGCTTCATACTGGTCTCTTAAAAAACATAAAGTCTTTTACACTAAATTCCATTCTGCTCAACAAAATGAATTATATGCTCTTATTCAAGTTATTTGCCTACATCCTTACCCCATTAATATAGAAACCTCCACCATAAACTCCTAGTTCTATTAAAACAGACAATGGCCCTGCCTATAATTCTAGATACTTTAAACAATTTTTACTATCTTTTTCTATTAAACATATTACAGGTATTCCTTATAATCCACAGACACAAGACACAGTCGAACGAACACATCACACACTAAAGTTACAAATAAAAAATTTAAAGAAGGGGGAATACACAGGTATACTACTGTCTTCCTTATCTAAAGCAGACTTTACTAGATTCCAACATAAGATATTTTCTAAACCTATAACTATTGTTAATACAGCTTTATTTGTTTTAAATTTTTTAAACCTACCACAGGGAAATATTTTAACAAGAGCAGAAAGACATTTCAAGGAATTGAAGGACACTTCTCTTCCTCTGCCCATTTGGTACCAAGACGGGTTCAATAAACAATAGAAATATGGGAAATTAATCTTACAGAGAATGGGATATGCTTGTATTTCCCCAGATGGATCCAACAAACTTTTTCCTCGGAAAATTCGACCCAAGGGGGCCCCCGACATTCAAATGGAAAGGAAACAACAAGAAACCGGGAAGAAGAAATTCCAATATGGGCCATGGTGGCTCTAAAGATCTCCAGAAAGCACTGCCCTCAGCGGCATCAATCTATGACCTCCCCTCTTGGGGACAGATAAAAACCCTTACTAATAAAGCTGAAAGTCTGGTCTCTCAACAGGGAATGCCTCGGAGTCCTGAATACATTTTCCTGCTAGCCTATGCCTCCCACCCAGACTTAACTGGGCTTTCTTACCCAACCCCCCTTTATTATAGGTCATAAAATGGATGGAGAAAAGAGAGATCATATCAACCAATGACTCCACCCATATGCCCCCCTCCCTGGAACCCTCACAACCTGGGGAAAAGGGAAAATTAGTTAACATTTCTTTAGGCTATGAAGTCATTTCATTGCCTGGGCCCAGGAAAATTATGCAGAAATGTATGCCAACAAACTTGGGTTTTCGTCCTGCCTCCAAAAGAAGACTTTTGGACATTGCTGCCCTTTCTCTGTCTGTGAACCATGTTTATACTACTAAAACTTTAGGGAAAGAACAAAAACCATTATATATTATGCTGCTTAAGTCGCTTTAAAGGTTACTAACACTACGTTGAAACATTATCACGACAAAGGACTTCTTGGCTGGCTTGACGGTGGAATGGCATTCCCCCCCACCCCCCACCTCCTCGAATCATCCTTGATAAACAGAGTGGGCCTAAACAATGGGACATAGGGAAACTTGCTGCCAGCACCGAAGAACTTGGGACTTAGACTGGACATTTCACAGAGACCAGTTGTGGTCACAGTAACTATTTATTTGGCTATAATCAGTCATATTTTATACAGGCCTGTGTCCCACTTCCTTTTGTTATAGCCATAAGAAATTTACAATTTAATAAGACTTTATGTTCTGTAACTTGTATTAATTGCCAATTTTGTGTTACTTCTGTTCATTTCAATCATAGTACCTACAACTAGGAACAAATCAAATTTCATTTACATGATAATGCCTCTCTGAATGCACAATTACTGCAAAAGGAAATCTTTGAAACTTTTTCTAATTGCCTGCCCTCTTCCACTAATTTGAAAACTTTAGCTAAACAGCTCGCTGATTGATTGTTTGGGCTAGACCCACAAAGATGGTTTCAAAGTATTACCCACAGTATCGAGTCCGAAAATGTAACTTTGGTGATTGTCTTGATAATTGTATTTGTTGTTTATCATCACCTTTCTATAAGGTTGGTTAATACTAACCAAACTCATTTGGTCAGGACCTTTTTTACAAATATAATAAAATAGGGGGAATTGTCAGGAAGCATTTAACAGTAAGATTTCTGTGTACTGTTTCCTCTCTTGAGCCCTGTGTTCCTTACCAGTCCCTGTCAGGGACCAGAGGAGCAGGCAAGCCTCTGCCAGGATGGAGATCAAAGAGATGGGATGCTTGCATAGGACTTCCTTCCTTAGCTTTTCCTTACGGTGAAAAGTAACTATTTACGAGGCTCTTTTCATATGGATTGCCTCTTGGCCTTATGGTCTCTTGTTCCTTGCTTCCTTGGTAACCTTGTAAAGTAAGGTCTCTTGATCTTTATCTAAAGAAGCTACTGGTATATATACTCACAGAATTCAATAAAGCACCTTGCTCCATCAGACCTTGGGTCCCCGTGTCTTTCTTTCTTTCTCTCTATTTCAGGAGTGCAAAAGTCAGCTGCATAACCCAGGGAATATTAGCCTTTTTCCTTCTTTCACTCTCTCATCATCGACTCTGGACCATCAGGTTCCGGTCCAATAAAGGACCAACAATCTGTCACAATCTTACACCTCATCCAAGCAAACAACACACATCACACGTGACAGAGTGTATTCCTTCAAGTTTTCTTAAGAGACAGACTTCGTACACAGCTAGTGAGACAGCAGGACCCTGGTGTCTGGGAAGGGAACCTTATCTTCCAGAGAGTGTTAATATGGACACCATGAGAAGAGGGAGTCCATCTTTACACTCATGACAGACATTCTTTATCCCAACGATTAAAGCCGATGTCTTGTGAGAGTCTGACAGGTTGTCTTGGTTCACATAAAGTTCAGGCTGAACCATGTATAAGCCAAATGACTCCCCCATACCTCAGTATGTGAACATTTTTCTCCATGACAGGATATAAAAATCTTAGAACCATACGATCCAGCAATTCTACCTCTGAGGAAATACTCAGAAGAATTGAAAACACACTCCGGTGCTTTGTACACCCACATTCATAGCAGCATTATTCACAGTAAGTAAAGCATGAAAGCAATTCAAGTGCCCATGATCAAACAATGGATAAGCTGGTGGGGCAGGCACATATACTAGAATATTATTCAGCATTAAAAAAAGAAGGGGGGGACTTCCCTGTTGTTCTGTTGTTAAGACTCCCAAGTTTCCAAAGCAGGAGTCGCAGGTTCGA